TGGTCATGCCATTTGGATGAACTAACGCACCAGCCATTTTCATGGATTTGATGAACAGGGTTTTCAGACAATTTCTGGATCAGTTTGTCATTGTATTTATCGATGACATCCTGATCTATTCAAAAAGCAGATGGGAACATGCTCACCATCTGACTCAGATTTTACAAGTTCTAGGAGAAAAGAAGTTGCATGCAAAGTTGAGTAAGTGTGGGTTCTGCCTCGAGCAGATTACTTTCCTAGGGCACATCATATTAAGGGATGGAGTGTCAGTGAATCCCGAAAAAGTTAAGGTAATGCTTTATTGGAAAAAATTAGTCTCAGTCAAGGAGATTCATAGTTTTCTGGGGATAACAGGTTATTATCACAGGTTCATGAAATGATTTTCTAGCCTATCTGCTCATTCGACTTGGCTCATAAAGAAGAACGACAAGTTTGAGTGGAACGACGACTGTGAAAGGAGTTTTTCAGAACTAAAGAAGCAGTTGACTATTGCACCTATGTTGGCCTTACTGAGCAGGACAGGTGGATATACAGTTTATAGTGACGCCTCCTACTTGAGGTTGGGTTGTGTTCTGATGCAGTATGGGAATGTCATAGACTATGGGTTCAGACAGTTGAAGAGTCATAAGAAAAATTATCCTACCCGTGACTTAGAACTCGCTGCGATTATCCACGCCTTGAAGACTTAGCACCATTACTTGTATGGGGAGACCTTTTAGATCTATATCGACCATAAGAGCTTAAAACACATATTTACTTAAAAGGATCTCAACATGCATAAGAGAAGATGGATAGAATTCTCAAGGACTACGATTGCAACATCTTGTATAACTCAGGCAAGGGCAACATGGTAACCGACGCACTTAGCAGAAAAAGTACAGGTATATTAGCTCACTTAATAGTTTTAGAATGTAGGGCAATAGGGGCCGCACAACAGGTACGACTCTAGGACCTGAAGAGAGTTACATGCTTAGCCTACCTAACTGTTCAACCTGAGTTGATCCAGAGAATAAAAGAAGTCCAATCCGCCGATTCCACCCTAGCAGCCCTCAAGAAAGATGTAGAACAGGGAGCAAATTTAGAATTTCGAGTCTCTGCCAATGAGTTGTTTAGATTTCAGGACAGGGTATGTGTTCCATGTGACAATGAGCTGAAAAGGGACATCATGACCAAGACTCATAACTCAAAGTTTATCATGCATCCTGAAATCATTAAGATATATCAAAGTATGCGACCTCGATTTTAGTGGAACGGGATGAAAAGAGATGTGGTCGACTTTGTTTCCAAGTGTTTGGTATGTCAGCAAGTCAAGGCAGAGCATCAACGCCCAGGCGGGCAACTTCAGCAATTACCAATTCTTGAGCGAAAGTAGGAACATATCACAATGGATTTCATGACAGGATTGCCTACGGCACGCTCGGAACATGATGTCATTTTGATAATTATTGACCGGCTCATCAAGTCTTCCCACTTCTTGGCCATCAAGATGACCAACCCCTTGGACAAGGTAGCAAGAATGTATATTCGGAAAATACTCAGGTTACATGGAGTGCCAGTGACAGTAGTGTCCAACACGGACCCTAGGTTCACTTCTCAATTCTAGTCTAGTTTTCAGCAAGTCATGGGAACGAAACTGTCCCTTAGTACTGCATTCTACCCTTAGATCGATGGACAATTAGAAAGAACAATCTGCACACTGTGGGATATGTTCCGAGCTTGTGTTCTTGACTTTGAGGGCCAATGGGATGATCATTTGCCCTTAATAGAGTTCTCTTACAATAACAACTACCAAGCTAGTATCAGTATGGCTTCGTACGAGGTGTTGTATTGCCATCCATGCAAATCACCGATCTATTAGGAAGAAGTGGGTGATAGAAAATTGTTCGATCCAGATTTTGTGAAGGAGACTACATCCAAAATAGTTAAGATCCGAAAGAACATCCAGATGGCTTAAAGTAGGCAGAAGAGTTATGCGGATACCTAGAGGAAGGATTTGGAATTTGAGAAAAGTGTCGGATGTTCCTCAAGATCACTCATTTCAAGAAAATTAGTAAGTTTGACAAGAGAAAAGAATTAAATCCCCAGTTTATTAGACCATTTGAAATCTTAGACAGAATTGGCACCGCTGCCTACAGACTGGCACTACCTCCAGAACTATCCAGGATCCATAATGTGTTTCATATGTCCATGCTATGCAAGTACAACCTAGACCTCTCTCACATCTTGGTCACGAGCCCCTTTCACTATAGGAGGATTTGTCCTATGAGGAGGTACCAGTGGGTATTGTGGACCGAAAGAGCAGAGTACTTCGCAATTAAAATTTTTTTTTCGTTAAAGTCCTATGACATAATCACACACAGAGAGAGGCCACATAGGAGATAGAATCAGACTTCAGAGCCCAATATCCCCAACTATTTGATTGAGTGAGAGAGAGACAAATTTGAGAGACCAAATTTCTTTTGGGGGAGAGTTGTAATATTCGGGTCTGAAATTTGACTTGGGATTAATTTAAAAATAAAAATAAATATATTTAAATATAATTTTTAAATTTTTATTTAATGTAAAAATTAAAGAAAAATAGGTAGATGATGAAATTGAAAATAATTTTAGAAAAAATGGGTAGAAATTTGGGTTCAGAGAGTATTTTTGAAAGAAAAATTGAAAACTATGTGTCAAAATATAATTTAAGAAAAATGTGCCACGTAGGACCGCCCAGTTAGTAGCTCCGATGAATTGAAGCACGTCGCGTGGCAAGACACGCTGACTTGGTGTAACGCGGGAGGCCACGCTGGCAATCCGCGTGCCTACGATCGAACAGTTTGGATCCGTTCCTTCGTTAAGAGCGATCGAACGATCACGATTAAACATGATGAACGGTTTAGATTCGTTTTCTCTTTAAATGCGATCGTACGATCTAAATCAAATCACGATGAATAGTCCGAATTTATTTATTCTTTAAACGCGATTAGATGGCCGAGATCAAACGCGATGAACGATTCAAATTAAAGGGAGACAAATATAAATACCTCACTTCATACTGAATCCTAACCCTAACCACCAATCTCTTGTCAAAGAAGAAGAACCAGTCGCCGGAGAAAGGAGCCGACCGCCACGCTGAAGCCACCTCCAACTGCCAAAAAAGGTAATAAAAAAAAATTTATTCGCTCGAAATTTGATTTTGAACACCCCCATGGCCAAATCAGAGCAAAATGATCGACGGATTAGCCGAAAACTGCGGGTAAAGCTCGACAGCGCGTCCCTGGGAAAAACTAAAAACCTCATACGATGAGTCCCTTCCTGATTTATGTTTTGTGTGATTTTTTTACCATTGTAATCACCATTCTGTTTTCTACAAGTTGACTGGAAAAAAAGGCTCAACCGCGAATGTGAGCCGGTAGAGCCGCCGCACCGAAAAGTTTCGCCACCGATGAGTTTTGTTTTGACTTTTTTCGGCTAATCAAGGCCCTTTAACGTATTTTCTCGTAGGGATGAATATAAAACCAGCCAAAATCGGCTAAAACTGGCCGAAAACGGCCAGTCATATGCAAACCACCACCGCAGGCGGTAGTGCTGTTGCTGGAGCACGGCGGTGCCGCTGTGCCAGAATTCTGAAATTGGCCAGAAAATGTTTTTAACACCGATTTTAGATTTTTTAAGGTCTTTCTAGGTACTTGAATCGTGTTTTAATCTTCGAAAGAAAATTTAGGGAACTAAGGAACCGCTAGTAAGTACAGTTGAAAGTTTAGTCTTTTGGATACCAATTCGAATAAGAATTCCTTACCTTATTTCCTGTTATGGAATTAAAGTTTAATTATAAATAATACGATATTGTGAGTAATTTAGAAAACTTCGATAATTAATTACAGGTTACTAATGGAGCCGAAATCAGTTATTTATTACTGTTTGTCCTGTTTTAACTGATTGATTGATTTTATAGTTTTAAATGTACAATAATACAGTGGAGTTGGTAAGATGATTCAATTGTATTTTCTTGATATATGTATTGATTGTTTTGCGTGATTTACAGTTAAATTGTGAAACTGAAAATTAAATATGAACAGAAAATTGCTTGATTAAGTGAATGAATGAATGATAGGCTTATTGGATATCATGCGAGATGGTGGACGGACCGGGTATATAGGGGACCCTACTGTGAACGTTGCCTCATACTGGACGGGGTATTGAAGATTGGTGTTTTGGTGCTCATACCAGACGGGGTATGGGGACGGCCTGTTTCACCCTTATACCGGACGAGATATTGAGAGATGATATTTTTGGCGCTCATACTGGACGGAATATGTGGACGGCCAGTTAGTTGACAATATTGAATAAGGGTTCACACATAGTGGGGACATTCCTATAGACCCCTATGGATACTAGTAAACAGATAAAAAAGAAAAGTTGTTGTTCTATCTAATTGAAAATGAGATTATGATGTTTTTATTATTACCTTTATAGGTCGGTTTTAGAAATCTTGCTACGGTAAGTATGTAATAAATGATTTTATTTATGTTAAATAAATTTATTTAAATTAAGAGCTCCATAAGTTATTTTTATAATTTTTACCAACCTTCATTTATGTATCGGTGAGTAGTGTGACATTCTTACTAGATAGTGTAGCTCACTCTTTTATTAACCGTTTCAGATCAAGAGAACCAAAATCTAGATTGCGATCCATAAGAGGGTTGCGAATAGGATGCCCAGTTATTTATCTTCTATTTATTTTTTTGATTTTTCGTTTGTTCTTTTAGAAGGATCATTTCTGTAACTCTATTGGGTATTCTAAATTATTGTGTAAGAAATATGAATCCTAACTTTATTGTTTCGCTTCCGCATTCAATTTATAATTTATTTATTTTAAATTCCTGAATGTTACAATAGTTGTATTAGATACATAAATATACATAGATCACTTATTGAAACATAAAAAGAATACTGATGAAATATTAATTAATGTTGAAATATCAATTAATTGAGTTAAAATTACTAAAATTATAGGCCTAATTATTACTTTTGCGAGCACAGACTCTAGCATCCTTATAAACTTTGCCTGGGCTACACACATAACCTTTATCAGGGGCACAATGAAAATCTTGTGAGCATATACATAATCCTTCAAGTGCACACCCTTTTTTGAGTATTGTTACTCCATCTCTCAATCCTAGAATTTGGTCTGTCCATTCATTAGAGAAGAGTCCATTTGGGTCATATGTGTCCTTCACGTTCAAGAACTGTGTTGCATTTTTATATTTGTTGATGGCCCCAATGAAGGCTAGGTTTCTATTCTTACCCCAATGAGGCAAAGCTCCATATTTAAACAATGCCATTTGCTCAATTTCTTCTAAAATGTCCTCATGAAGTCTAGGAGTCATGGAGTCTTTGCTTCGATAATATGTGATATCAAAATCTATGGCGTCTTCTTCTTTGCCCAGATAGGCACTGGATGCTGTGATGTAACGCATGAGAATACCGTTGTAGAGGTCAAGGCCGCAAAGTGCTTTTGGCTCTAAATCAACAAGCTTTTGTACATCTTGAATGAAACTCTTGGCCATTGACAAAGACACACTAAATGCTGATTGGTGAAAGAACTCGCCTTTGATTCTTGGGTCCCAACTGCAGGCTGTAATAAGTGAATCTTGAAGACTATTAAGACAGCTCCCAGATGCTTGTACTCGATTATGATTTCCAATTACTGGATAACCAGTAAATATAATACCTAGACAAATATGTTTATATAAATTTAATTAACAGTATTATATAGATTATAAAAGGGAAAAACAATGAAATTATAGAAGATAAAAGGTAATAACTATGTACCATTGTTTGTCAAGCCATATGCAGTTGTTTGAAGGGTGAATGTGGTTAGCTGTCCATTAATGCACTTCCCTGTAGCGTCTCTCAAGGCTTCTTGAGTTTCCTCTGATTCATAAATTGCATATATATCATCCAATTTAAATAGCACACACATTCTAGAGATAACTTTTCTGCTTAATATACTCGTTTTTCACAATTAATAATAAGATATAAATTTAATTATGTAAATGTAGGTTTATACTAAGGTAGTCGATGGATGAAGTAACTAGATCTACTGGTTGGGCTTTTTTATTAATAATTATAAATAAAAAATGCATACCTGTAATTCTAATGGCTGCCAAAAGGGCTGAAAGGGTTGGCTGGAAGGGAATAAAATCATATGCGCCATTTGCAGTAGCATTAGAGGGTGCACGGTCATCCAATCTGTACACAACTTTGCGTTGACTTGGATACCAAATTATATCTGCGAATTCATGCTGCCTTCCGAATTCACCAACTTTATCCCCTAAATCTTCGTCATCTTTTGTCAAGTACGTTATTGATCTCTTGAATAGAGACTCTAGCTTCAAAGTTACCTATATATATATATATATGTATGTATAAGGATGAGTTTTATATAATTTTACGAATACAAATATATATATCAACTTACAAATTTTAGAAAAATTATTGTATGAAAGGAGATTTTATTTCTTACATTCTTTTCTCAACTAATGTTCTGAGAACAAAACCAAACCTCACATTCTCATATAGAAATATAAAAATTAGTAAATCTTCAACCAAATAAGAATTTATAATTATTGGAGTTTTAGACCATTTTGGTGACATTCTACTTTCTATTAAATAGTTAAAAACTATAAATTATTTGAAAAATGAATAAATCTGTTAATGAATCTTGTATCTAGATTAAACTATTTGACTTATTTTTTTATTTACTAAAATTATATAGCTAGAGTTTAAAAAATGAATTTACTATAAACCATTAATGATTTGTTAGCGAGTGCGACAGTTATTTAGTGATGTTTATCAATGGCCCACATATCATAACTAGCAATTATTATTGATAACTTGGAGAAATGGATTTTATGATTTCTTAATAAAATAACAGTGAACGTATACCAAGTAAAATTTAAAATTTATATATATGTATATATATATTTATGTAGATACATAAAATTGTTATTTATAATTACATGCCTCGTCCAATACACATAGTACTATATGTATTTTAATGTGTATAAAATTATTCATTGTTTATATGTGAATTTGAAAGTATATATATGTTTATACGTTTATATTTTGATGTAGTAAAAATGGCCTAATTGAGGTTGATACGAATGTGTAATCTAGTGTTTATGACAAAAGGAAGCGCACTAAGCGAATTAATTTCTATATAAGCTAAGGCGATGAACTAATTAAAAAGAAATGTCAATCACAAGGAAACAAAAATATAAATTAGATCACAACACACACAAGCCAATTGGCAGAAACTTAAAGTAACCAAAAACAAAAATACACACACACATAAGTCGTAGTTGAAGAACAATACTAATACTCTAAAACAAATAAAAGACATATTAAACTGCAGCACTAGGGAAAAATTAAATAGCAGTACCTGTGAAACGACACCAAGAACTCCAAGAGAGACCCGAGCAGCATTTAGATCATGAGAATGATGATCTTGATCAAGCACTCTAACTCCAGCAGGACTCACAATTCTCATTTCCACGACATAGTCATGAACCGAACTACCTTTTCCCCACAATGTGCTGCCATGAGCCCCTGTTCCCAACATTCCACCAATGGTCAAACCCCACCAATACGGTGCGTATGGCAAGGCCAATCCTGCCTCGGCAGCATCTTCGATTATTTGTTTCAACATCACCCCACTCTGCACCGTCATCGTCATTGATTCTTTATCGATTTTCAACGTTTTATTAAGATACTTTGTGCTGATAAGTAACCCATCTTTACCATCCACGCAAACAAGTTTAGGGATACTGTGGGAAGAATGAGTTACCACTTTCATTTTGGTTTTGGCCATGGCGGCTGTTGATACTACTGAAATGAGCTCTTCTTCTGTGGTGGGAAAAACCACCTTTGCCGCTCGACAAATGCTACGATCGGGGAAGACGCCATAGGAGTTTGTGATGGTGCAATTCGAATTCTGGGAGGAGCTGCACTTGATGGGATCTTCTGGTGGGGTACAACACACCGTGAGAACTAGTAGCAGCAGGAGTTTTGATCGTAGAAGTTGAATGAAGACGGTGTTTTTCAAAGGTGGCAGCAGTATTGCCATGATTTATTCTGGATGGAGTAGGTGGTCTAATTATGATATGTTGGTAAATGGTTGTGAAATGATAAGTGGTTTGTGTATGCATGTATGTGTATATATATATACTTCAGTAGTGGGGCACCATATATAGATATATATTAATTATATGTGTCCTTTTTTCTCCTGAAGTAATTATATGTATATCCTTGGGTGGCGTAAAATGGGATCCTTAACATGTAGTAGATGGAGCTCAAGGGATTAGATGCTTTAAAGTCAAGATCTATTGTGGTATCTCCTTAAACATCTGTCATGGATTCATGATTGCACCGGAATAAACTCATATATATTAAAATAATTTTTCATCGCTTATAATTGCATTGAATAAATCAATGAAGGTTGTAATACATCTCCGTTAGTATACAACTCATTTTCCTATGGGTAAATGTAACTAGGAGTAGAAAAAAAAAAAAAAAAACACGTGCAAATCTGTTGGACTAAATCTATTTACACGTGTTTTTTATTATAATAACTGTGAAATTTCAAAAACTAATTTATTATTTTTGCTTTGTATAATTATGGTTAAGCTAATAATTTTGAATTTCGTTTACTTGGGCTGCTCATCTTTCTTTCTCCCCTAATAATCTTCATTTGACTGAGGAAAAGAGCCAGGCGGCTGATGTTTTGGATAATGATCTTTCCTAATTTCCTTAAAAATCTTCATTACACTATGATGCTAACAATTTAAAAATATAATACACATTTGATTTAATTAAAGTTAAATATACAATTAATTCAAAATGTTCAAAAAAAGCAATCAAATAAAATTTTTCCTTGGTTGAATAATTAATACTTTTACATATTTTTATAAAATTATAAGTTTAAATGGACGTAACCATTATAGGTGTATCTTCTTAAAAAAATCATAATATTATTTATTATTTTATTATTAATTTACAGATCTCATCTAATTATATTTACTATTAACAACAGAACAGCTGGGTTCATGATCAATAAGATTAAGGGAATTAAGTAAATTCGTCCTCAATATGAAGCTATAATATGATCAAACATTGGGTTATACACATACATGTATATATGTATACATCCATATATATATATATACATATATATATATATAACAAATTAGTGTTGGGCACGTAGCTCACGAGAAAGAGACAAGCAGTTTCTTTGCGGGAAGGCTACAGGCTTTCAAGCGAAGCTTGTGGATGGGACTGGGATGGAGAGAAAAGTGGAATGGTCAACTATAATCCGCGTCACGAGTGCGTGTTTTTTGCACCCAAAAAAAGAAAAAAAAAAAAAAAAAAAAAAAAAAGCGCATGAGAGTCTCATTCCACTTTCAACTAGCGGTAGTGGGCATACCCATCACTTCATTATCTAATTCTTTAAAGGATTTAGAATTTTAAGACTTACATATTATTGTGGACCGACATTTTCAATCCACAAAAATTTACACTTACATAATTAACAATCATTTATTTAATTAACTTAGTAAAAATTATTGTCTTTACTTCTTTCACTTGGATTTGATTTTTGTTATTAACAATTTAATTATTTTCATAATATTACCGTATATGTATAAAGCTTGGATATGTCATGTATATGATATTAAGTCAACTTCACCACAAAACATTAATTATTTTCATAATTAATTTAGTAGATACATATGTGTGTATATATAATTTATTTTAGTCTTTTTATTCAATGACTTCCAAAATCAATCTAAAAAAGATCGTTATACCTATCAATTAATTTTAATATTATTAAATTAGTTTTAACAATCAACATTAATTATTTTTCTAATTCATTTAATGCATTCACCTGTGGTATAAAATTGACTTAATTATCTCTATTTAATTATTTATATAATCTTATTACAAAGAGATGAGCATTAAGGTAGCTACCTTCGTACTCATCTTAATCCATACCAGATGAAGAAGTAAAAATATGTAATGAATGAGGTGTAAGACGAATGTGGATAAAAAAATTGTAAATTACGTGTGAAATCAGTATGAATTTAATAATTTATATGTTATCTACCCATTTGATTCCGTCAAATTTAAATTAATAAAAACTTAATATTGTATACTTATTATGTTATTTCATAAAGTCTTAATTCATACCAAATGAAATATGATAAAGAATTGTGACTAATAAGGTGTGAGACGAGTGTAGTTAAAAAATTATAAATCAAGTATGAAGCAAGATAAATTTAATAATTTACATGTTCTCTACTCATTTGACTCTGCCACTATATACATCATTAATAATTTTTTAAATTTAATTTTTAAATTTACTTAAATTAATTAAAATTTGATTAATAAATATTTAATATTATATATTTATTGTAATACCCGAGCCCAAAAAATTTGGTATGGAATTAATTTTAAAAATTAAATTAATGTATAAAAAATATAAATTTTAATTTTGTAAATTTCAATTTAATACAAAATTAGGAAAAAATAGGTGGATGATGAAAATAAAAATAATTTTGAAAGAAAAAAAACTTAAAATTTGAGTTCGGATGATATTTTTGAAAGAAAAATTAGAAACTGCAAGTCAAAACACAATTTAGGAAAAATGTGTCACGTAGGACTGCCCAGTCAGCGGTCCCGACAAAGCAGAGCACACTACGTGACAAGCACGCTAGCTTTGCGCCATGCGGGAGGCCACGCTGGCAATCCGCGTGCCCGCGATTGGACGGTCGCGATTAAACGCGATGAACGGTCCAACTTCGTTTTCTCTTTAAATGCGATCGTATGATCCAGATCAAATCGTGATGAACGGTCCATATTTATTTCCTCTTTAAACACGATCGGACGGTCGAGATCAAATGCGATGAATGACCCAGATTAAAAGGAGACAGGTATAAATATCTCACTTCACACCGAACCCTAACCCTAGCCACCAACCCCCCACCGAAAAATAAGCACCAATTGTCGGAGAAGAGAGCCGACCGCCGCTTGCCGCCACGCTGGAGCCACCTCCGACCACTAAAAAAAGTAAAAAAAAATTAATTCGCTCAAAATTTGATTTTGAACACCCCCATGGCCAAATTGGAGTAAAATGACCGGTAGATGAGTTAGAAATCGTGGGTAAAGCCCGGCGCCGCCGCCGCGAGAAAAACCAAAACCACCTCCGATGAGGCCTTTCCCGATTCTTGTTTTATGCGATTTTTCCACCATTGTATTCACCATTTTGTTTCCCACAGGTTGACCGAAGAAAAACCCTCAACCGCGAAGGTGAGCCAGCGAAGCCACCGTATCGAAAAATTCTGCCGCTGGTAAATTTCTATTTTTTGACTTTTTTTCGACCAACTAAAGTCCCTTAATGTATTTTCTCACAGGGATGAATATAAAACCGACTGAAATTGGTTAAAACTGACCGAAAACAAGCGGCGGTGCCGTCACTAGAGCATGACAGTGCCGCCATGCTGAAATTCTGAAATTGACCGAAAAATGTTTTTAACACTGATATTTAGATTTTTGAGGTATTTCTAGGTACTTTAAGTGTATTTTAATCTCCAAAGAAAAATTCAGGGAACCTAGGGATCGTTAGTAGGCGCAGCTAAAAGTTTAGTATTTTCGAACACCGATTTAGATAAGAATCCCTCACCTTATGCCCTATTATAGAATTAAAGTTTAATTATAAATAATACGGTATTTGCGTAATTTAAAAAACTTTGATAATTAATTACAGATTACTAATAGAGTCAGAATTAGTTATTTATCACTGTTTATCCTGTTTTAATTGATTGATTGATTTTACAGTTTTAAATGCATGATAATACGTGATAGTTGGTAAGATAATTCAGTTGTGTTTTCTTGATGCATGTATTGCTTGTTTTGCGTGATTTACAGTTAAATTACGAAACTGAAAAATTAAATATAAATGGGGAATTGTTTGATTAAGTGAATGAATGAATGGTAACCTTACTAAATATCCTGAGAGATGGTGGATGGATTGGGTACATAGGGACCATACCTTGAACTTTGTCTCATACCGGATGGGGTATTGAGGGTTGGTATTTTGGCATTCATACCGGACTAGGTATGAGTACGGCCCGTTTCACCCTCATACCGAATGAATTATTGAGGGATAGTATTTTTGGCGCTCATACCGGACGAGATATGAGGACGGCCTGTTAATTGACAATGTTGAATAAGGATTCACGCGTAATGGGAACATCCCTATGAACCCCCATGGATACTAGTAGACAGATAAAAAGGGAAAGTTGTTGTTCTGATTAATTGAATATGAGGTTATGATGTTGTTTGTGTTATTGACTCTATAGGTCAGTTTTAAAAATCTCGCTACCGTAAGTATGTAATAAATGATTTTATTTATGATAAATGAATTTACTTAAATTAAGAGTTTCATTAGTTATTTTTTTTATTTTTACCAATCTTTATTTCTGTATCGGTGAGTAATGTGACATTCTTACTGCACTAGTGTAACTCACTCTTTCATTAACTATTTCAGATCAAGAAAACCAAGATCAAACTCCCGATCCAGAAGAGGGTTGTGAGTAGGATGACCTGTTGTTTACTTTCCATTTATTTTTTTAATTTTTCATTATTATTTTAGAAGTATCATTCCCGTAACCCTATTGGGTATTCTAAATTATTGTGTAAATAATGTAAATTTTAACTTTATTATTTCGCTTCCGCATTCAATGTATAATTTATTTTTTTTTAAGTTCCGGACCGTTATATTTATTGTATCATTTTATAAAT